TCTCCTTGTGTGGAGACCCCCAAAGCCCTGGCCGTGTTCCTGGGTGACTGCTCTGGTGCCCCTGCTCTGGGGGGTTGCACTGGGGGAGCTCTCCAGGTCCTTTCCAACTCCTCACATTCTGTGATTCTGTGAAAACCCCCCAAGAAGTCTTAAAGAGGCAGTGGTAAATGCAATTCTCAATTCTGCCTATTCCTTCCTCCCATCTGCCCCTGTTTAGAAGGGGTTGGGTCAACGTGACAGCTTGAGTCTCACTAAAACTGACCCTGCTGGAAGCACCTCCCCTTTTCCACATCTGCTGGGGAACCTCATTTGAACACTCCAGGCAGGCAAAGCCAGCTCAGGCGACCCGAACTGCGCCTATTAACGCCGACTGCAAATTAAGCAGCGTGATATCTAGGACGAGACAACCCTACAGACAGGGAAGGAAGGGGAGCATTTACCTGAAGCCACAAGAGATCAAAGTGCTGCAAGCAAACCCCACCCTGCTCCACGCTGCTGCTGCGGGCAGACGTGCCGAGCAGGCCGAGCTCTTACCTGAACCCGAGCCCTGACGACGTCCATGGGGTTGGTGAGCGTGGAAGCCGTGGCGGCCGCGAGGGGCCCCGATATTGCTTGCAGGAGAAGATGGGGACAGTCCTTAGGAGTCAGGCTGGAAAGCTGCTCTGGGAATGGGAAAGAGGAAAGTTTTAGATGAACTTATTTAATGCTAACTTAGCCTGATTTATAACCCGCCACAACCTGTCTACATTGACTGGAAAGTCAGCAAAGAGCACGGAGCAAGCCCATGAACTCCCCATCAGCCTCGTGCTACATCGTACAGCCTTGGATCAGCTCAAACACAGACCCCTAGACCTGCTGGGGGCAAAGGAGGCAGAATAAGCTTGGATGTCCCCAAAGCAGAGCATGGAAATACTCAATATTCACCCCCCTCCTTTAAAACCTTCCGAGGAGGCTACCCACGGATCCAGACATGGATCCAGAAAGCTGTCATCCACTGTGGGATCTTGAAGCAGGAAAGGTGCTGCTCATCCCAGGGACTGCCCCGCTCTGCTCCCATCGCCTGGCAAACAGCATTTGAACCTCCCACTCTTGGTTTAACTTGTAAAGCCACATGTCCCAAAGTCCCATTTTCTGTGATTGATGCGTTTATCCCACAGGAGGGGAGGAGGACGCTCCGTCCGTGCCCCACAGCGCGGATCTGAGTCCCCAGGAGGGTTGGGTGACCCTCGCTGCTGGCAGCCAGGGCCACCAGGCTGGGGATGGGGACAGGCAGCCAAAAAGGAGTTGGACTGACAGCACCACTTGGATTCTCCTCCTGCTGCAGGAGACCAGGAAAGAGAGCAACATTTGGAGCAAGCTTTGTTCTCTCCATATCAGCTCACTTGTTCTCAGACCTCCCCTTTTGGATCTCTTTGGTGTGGAAGTCTTACAATCAGTACAGGGGATTTTTGATATTAAAAAGTGGTGATGTTGGGAGCGAAGGGAGCGCTCCCCAAAAGCTCAGACCAGACCATGATCCCCGAGCTGCTGTTACCATTTAAAAGCAGCACTGACCCATAACCAGGGCTCCCCATAGCTACCAGAGCGTGCCCACTCTGAGAAGCAAAGTAGATGCTTGAGACACCTGTAATTTTAAAAGCAAGTGATAAACTTTAAGCCCAGCACAGCGAAATCTAAGCCTCCCACTATAATTTCATTGAGGTAGATTGCCATTAAGTAAATATTAGTCTGAAAACCACGGGCAAAACCACATGACAGAAATCTAAAAGGATTATTGGGGAAATAAACCATGGCTGGGCGATATCTTCAGTATCTGGGAACGCCTTGGGGATCACCAGAGCTGAGATAGGGAGACAGAACAAGCTGTTACGTGTGGTTTTGTATCACGAGGCTGGGTGCCGGTTTTAAAGCTGCAGAAACTGAAGCATGACCTTGGCACAGCACCACGGGAGATGTGGCCTTCGTCCGCCCGCTGTTTGGTTTTGCTGTGGGGTTTGTGGCTCTGGAAGTCTCTTTTTTTTTTTTTAACGTGAGACTCCCAGGTCCGTGTGAACTGAAAGGTGAATTACACTCACCCAGTGGCTTCAAAACACTTCTGTGCAGAAAGCAAACGTTATTTGGGATTAGCAGAAGAGAAAGGCAAAGGAGATGCAATTCCTCCTGCCTAGAGCCATCCAGTTCAATCCTCCTGCACTCAGACCCCTATTCTTTAACTCTGTGCCCTGGTTTGAGCCAAACAGAACTGATTTTCTATTCAGTGACTTCACTTTTCAGCTCAGTCTCTTCTCAGTGGCTGAACTTGCTGAAACCAGCAGCACGGTTTCCAGACAGTGTGTGCTGCTACAAGTGATAGTGCTTGTATGGTATGGAAACATGGCAAGGCCACTCTCACCACGGGGGCCGTGTCTGCACCTACAGGAGGAGCAGACCCAAACCTGCCCAACCAGGGATTGCATCCCACACACGCCACACTCAGTGCAAAGCCCAGGGATCACCAGGATCTCCACCCTTCCAGCTTGGACCCTTCCTTCCCTCTCCACCCCTGCAATGGCCCAAGGCCCAGCAGACCCTGCTGCTTCGGCTGCCTCTGGTTCTGATGAGCCCTGTGCTCCTGCATCAGCTCCCCCTGCTGCTGGGTCCACATTGGGACTTTTCCAGTGCTCCCAGAGCCTCTGGGGACATCATCGTCACTGGGGGAGGATTTTATATTGGTTTTGTATCTATATTTGTACATATCTGTATCTATTCCATTATTTCCTATTTACATCACTATCCTGTAGTATCAGTATTGTTGTTTCATTCAATCTGTTTGTTTTATTTTCCAACCCATAAAGTCTCTCTCCCTTCTTCTCTTTTCCCTTCTGGGGAGGGGAGAGGGGTTAATGAGAGCATCTGACCAGGGCTTAGTGGCCAGCCCAGCCCTAAACCACGACACTCCGCGTTTGAAACAACACTGCTCTGTTACCCTCCCGCCCAACGCCTGCAGAATACAGCGATCTGTCACGAGACAATTTCTTTTCCCATCCCAAATCAGAGAGAGAAAGCAAAGCACAGCTTCAGAGTCAATCTGAGGGGTTTCTGGGTCTGCTGGGACAGGAGACATCCAAAGTTCCCCTTCGCTTACCCGCATAGAAGTGGTAGAAGGGCCACCAGACGGCACTGTTGGGGATGTAGGTGAGCAGAGAGGCCACGTAGCCCCTGTAGAAGCCTCTAAAGCCATCGGCCTTGAAAATCTGCACAATGATGTCCTTGGTTTGGCCAAAGACCAACATCCGCTTGCCGTCCTGGTTCTGCACCTTGAACCTGCCCATGCTTTCCCCCTTCCTCTGCATCATCAGGTGCTGGGAGACGACGTCGATGGGCACGGTGATGCTCTGGGCCACCAAGGAGGCCGAGCCGCCGGCCACCAGCGACTTCACGGCGTTGTTGTTGTTGTAGCGGGACACGTACTTGCGGGTGAGCTCGTATGTCGTCACGTAGCACTGCCCGGAGATGAGGGTGAAGGTGTTGACCAAAAAACCACGGTAGAGCCCGGCCGTCCCTTCTGTCCGCAGGATTTTCACAAAGGCGTCGAAAGTCCCGTTGTACAGGCTCTTGCCCTTCTGAACCTGCAACCGCGTCCGGATGAGCGTGAAGGGGTACACGCTCACCCTGATCATCATAGTCATGCAAATCCCAAAGACGTAGAATTTCCTCTTGTCCAGGTGCTCCCACTCGATGATGGGGATGTTGCGTTTGTCCTCCATGGCTCCTCGGAGCGGGGACGAGAGGCGCAGCTCCCCAGATCTACCTCAAAAGCACGGAGCGCATCCAGGCCGGGCCTTCCTCTCTGAACTGGTCAGACTGGGAGCGCTGGTGTTTGAAACGAGCAGGTGACAAAGCGCCTGAGGTCGCTGTAGCGGCCTACGTCGCCGAAGTAAACGGAAAGCCCTCGCATAAACGACGTGGGGCTGTCAGCTCAGCAAGTGTGGTTGGTGGTGGCACCGTCTGACGCCACCGCAGCTCCTTGCGGAGCTCCAACCGCACGCAGGGGCGGCTCTCACGACGGCGCAGACCGTGCTGCAAAGCGGTTTGAGACCCACAGAGGAGCACTGCTACCTTTTAATGGGCACGCAGGGACACGGATCGTGAACCGGAGCAGCTTCTCCCCCGTCATTCCGGGTTCTTGGCGCTCCCAAATGTCAGGATTTCATTTCTCAGGCCTGGGCTCTGTCTGCAGAAGGAAGCAAGGAGTCTCTGTGCGTGGTCCCAGATCAGAGGCGTTTTCCTGGGCATTTCCATTCCGGCCTTCCTGCTGCGAGCTAGGGAAGGGAGAAGAGAAGGTGGTGAAAAAAGCAGCAGCGATGGGAGAAGGAGGCAAATACGAGAAGTCGATGACCAAACCCCTGGAAATAAAGGGTTAAACGTTCCAGCCCAGGGATATCTCAGCTGCAGTGAACAAAGTTCATCCTCGCTTCCAAGAGTCGCTGCTTCTGGCACAGCAACACCCACAAACCCCACCACCCTGCCCCTTCTGGCAGCTTTTGGGGTACTCTGAGCTTAAGGCCAAGGAGGGGAGCCTGGAGCAGCCTCCCCCAGCAGATCCTTCCCTGCCCCGCTGCGTTACCCCTGCGTCTCACCCTGGCCGTCGCTTCCCCAGGACAGGACCCTTAGGAGCTCCCCTCTCTCCCTTTTGGCCAAAATTTGCTCTAATTTGGCACACAATCGTTAAGAAAGGAGCATCTCAAAGAATCAGCCCGATTCTTTCGCCGACCGTGACTTGCTTTCCATATTAAAAAACCCCTGTGGGTCATCAGGAATAGCAGACCCCTAAATTATTAGGGATTATTACATGCAGCTGTGTCACAGCTCAACACAAAAACCGGACCAAGTGTGCCAAAGCCAGAGAGCTGAAAACGGATTAATTCTGAATCCGGATCAAATGAGAACTCAAACGGAACAGGAGTCACACCACGCACCAGTCTGGAGGCCGGGTTACGGGTCAGTGTAACGCAAAGGCCACAGCGTGAACGTCTGCGAATCGAGCTCCGACAGCCAAGAAACAGCAAAATAACTGGCAAGATTTTACCTCTGACACGGAGAAGAAACCGGGGTGAGGAAACCGGGGCTGTGTGCCATTAACGGGCCACTTCAGTGCCTGTCTGCCAACTCGGTGTTTGTTTAACGTCAGCAAACAGCGCTGATGGGACGGGGACGTTCAAACACCCCAGGGGAGGAGGGGGACGCCCTGTTTTACCTCGACAAAGGAAATGACATTTTGCTGTTAAGCCCCATTGACTTGACAGGTACCACATCACAAACCCCACAATGGCTTGGTTAAACAATCCTAATTACTGCGTTACCGGCTCGTTAGTGCAGAAATCGTTAGCGGGAAAACTTCCCCCCCCTACAAGAATCAGCACCGAGAAAACACCGTTTAAGTCTGGTTTTGCACTTGCTTTGTATTTTAGACTGAAAATCAATAAATAAAGTCTTGACAAAGCAGCTTCCTGAGGGTTTAGTCCATACCCTGAATTCCTCTGCCACCCAAAAACTGAACTGTGTCTCACTGAGCTCCCCCCGTAAGCTGTACCTGCTACGAAAAACCCTCACTCTGCAGTAAGGAAAACAAAGAAATATAAATATATAGATATTAACAGTAATCTTTAGAAAGTTCTATAGTGGTTTGGGTTCCGAATCTTGGCCACAATGACTTCCTTTGGACTCTTCCTCCTCCTTTCACCCAGGATCTCAATCAGGAAGAAACCTGCACTTGAACCCCAGGGCCCACAAGCAATCGAAGCCGTGGGCTCCTTCGGCCGGAGGTGAAACCTTGGCATCCCCAGCACTGCTTTGATGTGACCACAGCTCTCGCTCTGCCAAGAGGAAAAGGTTGGGCTCGATCTGAAAAGTCTTTTCCAAGCAAGTGATTCTGTGAAAGCTTTGCTCGGAGCATTTCTTCTCGCAGCAATAAAAGCAAGGGCCGGTTTCAGCAACTCTCTGATGGATCTTTCAAGCAATTTTGATATCGAAGCAATCACAGAATCCCAGAACGTGAGGGATTGGAAGGGACCTCCAAAGCTCATCCAGTCCAATCCCCCTGCCGGAGCAGGAACACCCAGATGAGGTTACACAGGAAGGCATCCAGGCGGGTTTTGAATGTCTGCAGAGAAGGAGACTTCACAACCTCTCTGGGCAGCCTGGGCCAGGGCTCTGTCACCCTCACTGAGAAGAAGTTTCTTCTCCAATTGAAGTGGAACCTCCTGTGTTCCAGTTTGTGTCCGTTACCCCTTGTCCTATCATTGTTTGTCACCGAGAAGAGCCTGGCTCCATCCTCGTGACACTCACCCTTGAAATATTTCTAACCATGAATGAGGTCTCCCCTCAGTCTCCTCTTCTGCAAACTAAAGAGCCCCAGCTCCCTCAGCCGCTCCTCAGAAGGGAAATAAAGCAATGACCAAATCTCAAAAGAGCCGACCCTCCAAACCAAAACACAAGCCCACCAGCTTCCCTCCCAGCTCACGGAGCCATCGACTTCTCAGCACAACCAAAAAATCATTTCATTTCTGCCAGGAAATCCCAGCAGAGGATTTCCAAGCAGGCTGGACCCGCTCCTGCTGCCTCACCAGTTTGCCAGACCCACAAACTATCGCTTCAGCCTCCTAAACCCAGATGGCAACTTCACACGAAGCACCCCCACAGCTCATCCTCTCCTGGGCACAGCCCCACCAAGCCGCTCTCCAAACGGTTTTTGTCGCAGCTGTATCCAAACACGAGTCTCTGGCAAATAAAGACGGGGCCTTTGTGCGCCCCTGGCCGAGGATGTCTCCCCCTCAGCATGTTAATGGCCTGGGAACCATCCAGAAGCAGGCGGGCGGGGCGGTTTTTCGCGCTCCGGCGGT